TTTAAGAATGAAATCATTTACCTGTTGAGAGTGTGTTGACAGTCTGTGTAGTTGGATCACTGAACTCCAGAAAATCAGTAATGAGGTGCTTTGTCAGTTACAGATTTGAAAAACCAAAGGGCGGGAATAAAGAACCCTAAACTCTAACACAAAGAACCATTGCAGCATGAAAGGGTTCTTCAGAATGCTATGGTTCTAAATAAAACCATTACTGCATGTAAAGAACCTTTAAAGAACCATCTTTTTTTAGAGTGCAGGAGTGACTGCTTGGCTTTTGTGTGCAAATATAAAACACGTTAAGATGTGACCGCTGAAGTAGGGCTGCACAATTAATCGAATTTCTAATCGCGATTACAATTACAGATGCCACAATTACGTAATCGTTCAAAGCGGCAATTAATCGCTCAAAGTCCACTTATGACATTTTGATTATATATATTTTTTTAGATTTTATGCTTAGGTGTATTATATTCATGTTAATTTATCAATGAATCACCTGCGATTTTGAATGCGATTTTGCGTAGCTTGTCAGTGAACTACGGCTCTGTGTAGTAAATGCCGCTCCATCTGAAAGCATGTGCTGGAGATTTACTACTAATCACAGGAGCGCCTTTACTGACGAGATGTGCATGACAATCGCATTCGATTTTTTGCACAGCCCTACCCTAATCCATAATCTGTATATCCTTGATCTCTAATCTGGTTTGGCAGATCAAGTGCTTGATGACACTGGGAATCCGAGACCCTGCGAATCAAAACAGAGCTTGTATCTTTCTGCACGGTCCACATAAACCCATGAGAGGCACTTAGTCTGTTTAGTGTAGCTCAAGCCCATGTTTTGACTTTTAAAGCTATTATTTTATCTAGATGCAGGTTGACTCTCAGCACTACTGTTTTCCAAGAAAAAAAGCGACATGTCTGTGTCAAATAATTCTATGATTGTATCAAAGAGAAGATTTTTGTAGATTGTATTATTTTTTTTGATAAATAGTTTCCGCAAAAGTGATAATTTATTCACCCTCATTGCACCCCATTGACTATTGCTGTATACACTCAAGCAAAACAAAAACAAACAAACACCGAGAAGTTTTCCAAAATATCTTTTGTTTTCCACAGAATGCACAGAAATTCATACAGGTTTGGAACGGAATGAGGGTGAATAAATAATGACAGAATTTTCATTTTTGGGGCGAACTGTCCATTTAATGTCATTTCACATTAGGATTAAGTTTTTCTATTATACACACATTCACACATCTTGGCAAACATTTTCCAAAACAGTCAAATTGTATTTTCTCAAATTTTAACAGCCCATTTCCAAGAGCGATATCTTTATGAAGTTGTCTGTCATCTGATCAGTCATTTAGTCCAAAAATGTGACAGTCCAGCAATACTTTCATCCAGTACATATCTGGCCTGTTTTGCCTATCTGTAATAACATATTGTCAGTGGTCTTTCCAAAATCATATTATGATAAACATAATATGTCCATCATCCCCTGACCCAGTATTTACTCCAGTTTCTAGTTCCCTGTTCCAGATATTATCAAAAACACAGGCAGGGATGTATTTCCCAGATAAGCATATGGAGAATGATATCTATTAGTTCATTTTTCCAACTGAGTGTTTGATAATGTTTTAACTCCACATCTGTGTTAAGGTATGAAGCCTTAAATTTGCTTTTAAATCAGTATAGTCCGGGTCACTTTGACCTCTTATTGACTATTCCATTAAAATGTGCTACATTCTCTTTTTTTGGTTTACTGCCAGGGGTATTTGTGTTCATAAGGACCGGTATTGTCACATTACAATGTTTACACTAGTAAACGCTAATTGACGAAACCGTCTTGGCCCTGTGCACACACTGCTTTCTTTGTCAACAAAAAATGGGCCAGGAAAGATGGTTTTTGGACAGCAAAAAGACCAGAAGGAATGCATGAGGAGTGATTGTGCCAGTTAGGAAACTTGGAATTGTGATCACGTTTAACAGTATTTTTTTTAATGTTCAGGATTGTCCTGATATGCCCCATACTACTGTTCGTGCTGTTTCGAAAATGTCATTTTCAGAAAAACAGTGCTGAAATTGCACATCTCAGTTAATACTCTGTATTTTTTTGTTATATATACATTTTAGGGTCTGGTGAAGGATGTGGCAAGATCATTCAGCGCTTTCCCAAAAAGGACTGGGATGGCACGGTATTTCCCCAGGGTGTGGAGATGGTAAGGAGTCGTTTTTGTTTCTGAAAACACAAACCCAAAAGTAGACTCAAGTCATTTATCCATAAACAGCTGCTTTCTGGAAGTAGCTGAACAGAAAAAAAACTGTATATTCTACCTCTTTGTTTTTCCTAGTTGTTCTCTATGATGGATTTTCAGTTTTTGCCATTGGTCAGCTGTGCCCACTTGATTCTAAATAGATTAAATGTGACATTGCTGGAGAATATGAATTTTATTTATTTTTTTTACTTTTTTGTTTTCCTGAAATCTGTGAATGCATCTGCCCACATCCTCGGAAACTCATATGGTTCTGATATCAGCCTTTTCTTTTGTCAACAATGCATAATTATTGTTTACTTAAAGGTTGATCCCAGTCGCCTCCATTTGCTCTAATTAGAGAGTTCCAAGCCCATGTCCTGTCCATTTCTTAAATGGCGTGCAGAAGTGCTTTGCTGTGCCTCTGTGATCAATTGCTCTACACACTCTGGCCCAATTAACAGACACAAATCAACTTAACTCTGGACCAAATATTTGCTTATCTGAGCTGGAGAAGAACATGCTGTACATCTCCTCAGTGACAGTGGCTTTAAAGTTGTCCTGGTTCTTGAGTTCAAAAGCTAACAAAGTCCAGCTCAATCTTTTGGGCTGTGGCCTGGTTGACTGTTTGTCTACTTGTTTATCAAGATGTAATGCGTAATTCTTGACTTTTATGTGAAATCAAAGGACTGAGATGATCTGCGCATTCTACTTCTTTCATCCTATAAATTATCACAACATTATAGTAGCATATCATTCTGAGAATGTATTAATTTATGTAAAAATAAACTAAAGGTTCAACTCTAATATAAAGTACACCTCTTCTGACGAGCTTGTTTTTAGTTTCTCAATTAAGATTCATTTTGATAGTTTTATATTTTGAGAGTCACCAACGTAGGTGCAGCATTAAGTCACAAAGGTGATGCAGCTGTCCTTGTATCATAATGAAGAAAAGGAATTACATTCTTGAAGAGAAAAACAATCTTTTGAGTAGTGTGACTGTCTTTCATTATTATTTTAATCTGTTTTAGCTATTACCCCCCCCCCCCCCCAAAAAAATCATATGTTCCTACCAAAGTGCAAAAAAGTGCAGGAAATAATGTGATATAATACAGAGAACCCCTACAGAATCTCAAGACTGTGTGTCAAGGTCAATAAGTCTCTTAAAATATCAGATAATTTGACCTTTCCATGACAAGGTTGTAAAATGTCATGTGGCACGACTTCCCAAAATGATATTTAGGAATTATAATTCATAATACTTAAAAATGTTTTGCAAAATAATGATTAAGTTGAGGACACTCACATGTGTTCAAGGTGTAAAGAAAAATTGATGGTTACACTACATGACATTTTTTAAATCATTTAAAAAACTTTTATGAACCAACATGAATACAAAGAGGACATTTCTGAGAACATGGCACATGTGTTTTGGCAAATCGTATACACTTTTATTTGTCATTGAGCCAAACACAGACTGTGCTCCCTCTGCTTTCTTGTTTTATTAGTCATTTAAGTGTAAGTGAACCAAAGAAATATGCTTGGTTACACAATATCCTTGGATAACAATGGTATTTATGATACGTGGCTTTGCATTTGCTTGTAGAAAAAGTTTGCATCAGATCCATGGAGGACATTGGCTATTCAGTGTAAGAGGCTCATTGTTCGCTGTGAGGACTGATTTTGAGTCTGTTTACACTCACTTGCTGAGATGTGGCTGCGAGCACCGTCTCCCATTGATTGTAGTTACTGTAATCTAAACAGTCATCTAGGAATCGGCTAATGAAGCGCAGGTTCAGTATCTTCCTAGCAGGTGGTTGAGTCTCTGGTCAGCCAACAGGTTACGCACTCTGGGTCAGTCCTGACATTAGTTGTTGTTTTAAACATTATGAATTCTTACTGATTTATGTTTGTGATTCTAAGAGGACATGATCTTTTTCCCACTCCAGAAATGATGGTTGTTTTGTCTATCAGAGACAGTGGAATTGGATTTAACTCCATTTCCGTGGTTTGAAATACACTGAGCAGTCACATTATTTGGTGTAATACAATGAAGGTCCTTTTCCTCAAGAACTGCTTGTATTGAGAAGCACTGGAAACATTCCATAGGGTTTTTATTCAGTATAGACTCAATGGCTTCATAAAGTCCCTGCAAGTTTAGGGAATATCCTTCAGCAGTTGCAGGGCTCTAGACTGCAACAGTTTTTTGAGAATGTGCGAGTTAAAATTTGATGTGGTCACATTTGTGCGAGTGCATGGTCTGCAATGCTCCAAAGCATCTGCTCTGCTCCATACAGCGCACGCTGCAGAGCCGCAGCGGGAGTCAGACTTCACTGATCATGTGAAGAGACAGAGAGAGGCGATTTCAGTGCGAGTGCTGTGGGTGTATAACCTGGTTTATACTCGCCGCGTCAGCACGAGCACAAAGTTGCACGATGGTGGACGGAGGATATGGTTTTCAAGCGAAAGTAAAGTAAAAGACCACTTCTTAAAAAAAATGAACATGTTGGTTTTCTTGGGAAAAAATATGCAAGCACTGTCACCGACAGCCAGTTTAGTTTTACTTTTCTTTTTGTTTTCATTTTGAAAAGCCTGTTGTCTTTGCTGTTTACCTTACAATATGGAGGCTTTCTTTTAATTGTTTTTATTTATTTGATTCCTCAGTGTTTGCTAAAAGTTCTGTAATTTATTAGTCAATATATTATACAGCATGTGGTGTAAGCCATGCCTCATTTTATTCGTTTTTGTTAATAAACGTTATATAAGCTAGTTTGTCAGTGCATTTTTGTTGAGATTGTTGTAGAGTGGAACCACCAAGTCTGGCACCATCATGGTCAAAGGGTCAGAATAACATTTCAAACATTGCAAACCAAAATTTGCTGATAAAAGTCACATTGTCCCTCTTTAGTTACATTTATGTTCCAGGTTTATCAGTCTATCTCATTGCTCATTGTCAAAAGTACCGATGTCGGTACCAGTCAGTACTGAAATGTAAAAAATGTGACGATACCAGCTTTTCCCAATAGCATTTTGAGCGCTCTTGAGTGGATTCTTAAACCCCTCTGATTGGCCATTGTGTTCATGCACTCAATAGATATATCGGGTCAGAATAACATTTCAAACATTGCAAACCAAAATTTGCTGATAAAAGTCACATTGTCCCTCTTTAGTTACATTTATGTTCCAGGTTTATCAGTCTATCTCATTGCTCATTGTCAAAAGTACCGATGTCGGTACCAGTCAGTACTGAAATTAAAAAAATGTGACGATACCAGCTTTTCCCAATAGCATTTTGAGCGCTCTTGAGTGGATTCTTAAACACCTCTGATTGGCCATTGTGTTCATGCACTCAACAGATATATCTGTGATTGGCTACAATGATCATCGCTTCACGCTCTTCACCGAGTGCTTACACCGATACACATGGGTGCGTTTGAAAACCGCGTCAATCAGAGCTGTTTAAGAATCCACTCAACAGCGCTCAAAATGCTAGCGGGAACTGCTGGTATCGTTACATTTTTAACATTTCAGTTCTGACATCGGTACATTTGACAACACTAAACAGGGATATTGGTTGGTTCTTTGGTCAACTATAGGATAGATTGGGCTTGGTTGACAATATTGATTAACCATTTTGATGAACCAATATCGATTTTAAATCCCAAGATATATCTTTCAATCTATGCTGTTTTCAGTTGATGTGTGAAAAAAAATCACTAAGCATTACTTGTAGCGCATCTTCTATGCAATAATCGCGATAAGCATTTGAAATGAAACAAAGTTTCAACTTACACACAACTTATACAGTACTTCCATAATGTAGAGAGAGCATGTGCACGTGGTTGCCAGGTTGGGAAGATTAGGTAAAACCACTTGGCAGAAAATGTATCGATTTAAGAGAAAATCTCTGATTGGGGGATTTAAACTATTGACATTTGGTCACCGCAACCATGAAAGCTTGTGGAGGCTTCTTACCAATGCAAAAAAATAAAATGAAACATTCTTAGGATAAATAACCAGCGGGCAAATATTTGTAGACGATTATGCTTAAATAATCGATTAAAATATTTATTGTGCAGCCCTACCTTATAGTATCATAGTAATGTATCAACTGACAGGGTAGTTTACTGTACCTGAAATATATCCAAATGAATCAATATTATATCAAATCAAATCAAGAGCTTGTGAATAGGAATCTAATCGAATCATAAAATCTGTGTAAATACCTGACACTATTAGATTGTATTCTCACCAAAAGCATTCCAGAATCAGCTTGAACTCAAACAGTTTATTTTTGTGGGAATCTCTAAATGAACTAGATTTGAAAAGCCAGGTTAAGCAGCAGTATTATTGTACATATTTTGAACATCTTTAGCATTTACGCGTGTTGTTATTTTTATAGTTTGCATTGTAGTGAATTATTCACATTGAAATGTTATTAGTGGTTTTATGTAAGATTAATTGCGATGCTGTTTTTTCCATTTTCTCATCTCACATGTTGTTTTCGAGTAAGTGCTAGAACAACATTCATCAAACGCATTCACATCTCTTTGAACACTGCGGGGACAGTGGAGTGCATAGGGTGGCCGATGTATTGTATAAAATTAGACCAGAGCTGTATGTATGTCATTTCTTGTTAGTCATTGGGTGTGCCAGTACTCCCAGTGGGCTGCAGAATCGAACCAGAAGAGTGTTTTGCTGGGTTTCAGGAAACATGGCTTGAGTTCATCTTCACAGCATCATCTCCGAAGCAACATGTGGAGGACCCCCTCAGCATAGTTTCTGCTCCGTCAGTTTACTCAAACATATCAGTATGTGCACATGTTTCTACTGATCTCCCTACCCAATGTGTTTCTTATGCTGTGACCCGGCCTTGCGTAATTTTTGGCTGAATTATGCGGTCTTAAGATTCTTTTACGATGCTCACGTACACTTTTATCTAGTCTTTTGATGCTCGTGTGCAGTTG